AACTATTTAATGTGTACTTGCTAAAAAAAAAAAGATCACGGTTTCTGTAACAGTAAGGATCTTCCTGGACAGCAACATCTGCTGAAACACACCAGTAGGATATCCTGAGGACAGAACAGAAGAGATCAGTTTGTATATATTTGTGTGTGTGTGTGTGTTTTTGTAAGAGAATGTTGCCTCTTTTGGTAGAAATCTCTCTCTTTTAAGATCATAAAGGGGCAATAATTCTGGTTGTAGGTGCAGCAGTGTGTGTGTGTGTTAGAATGATTTTCGAAGGATCATGTGACACTGAAGGCTGGAGTAATGGCTGTTGAAAAATGTGAAACATTTTAAAATTTAAAATTGTGATTACTCACTGTAATTAAACTTCATAATAATAGTGTTTTTACTGTATTTTTCAAACAAATTCAGGATTTTTTTTCTTACATTTTTTAAATATATTTCTATATATATATTGTATATATATATCTACGTGTACTGCATTAAGCTAACTGAGACTTGTTATAGCACTTGCTTATCATTGCTCTTTTGTTGATTTTGATTGCTTCCATTGTCCTCATTTGTAAGTCGCTTTGGATACAAGCGTATGCTAAATGTCTAAATGCAAATGAAAATATTGTTATTAAAATCTTAGTAAATGCAACTAGTGTGTGCTTTGCAGTTAGGTACCTTGCCTGTGTCTGGGTCCATATGGAGATCTTTAAAGGAGAGTTGTGACTGGCTAAGCTTGGGCTGAATGAAGTGACTTACTCTATAAGATCTCCCTGCTTGGCACAAATACACAAACACAAAAGGTATACATATGATACAACTGTAATATATCGCTATAAAATCTGATATTTTTACCAGATGTTATAATGTAAAACAAATCAAATAAACTGCATTTTAGGTAACTTAGCTCTTTAAAGACTGAAAATGGCATTTCATCTATAGGTTTTGAAAAATAAAGAGACAGGTAGTGACCTTCCTCTAGGAGTCTGGAGAGAGTGGAGGGTCTGAAGCCTGGTGGGATAGCACCCATCGCTGAAAGCACATCAGTAGCATCTATCTGCAGAAACAACACACAAGCACATTTCACTATGTGAGGGTGCTAGTTAGAAAGTTATGGTAATGTGTGTTATAATTAGTGTTATGATTATTAAAGGGATAGTTCACCCCAAAAATAACATTTCTGTCATCATTTACTCACTCTCAAGTTGTTTCAAACCTGTATGAGTTTCTTTCTTCTGTTGAAAAATGTTGGTAACCATGGATATGGACAACTATTTGCTTACCAACATTCTTCTTCAGAAAGAAATGTATAAATGTTTGTAACAACATGAGGGTGAGTAAATGATGACAAAATTTTCATTTTTGGGTGAACTATCCCTTTAAGGGTGTAATTATCTACATAGAATATACCTCAGTAACAGCCTTCCGCACTGTGCTCCAATTGGATGTTTTGCTAGTTGGACAAGAGGCAGTATTTGATCATTTTCTTTAGTAAAGGCTGCATATGAACTTAATCTTCTGTTTAATTCCTTTCAACTTCAGAAATTGTGAGCTATATTATACACAACAAAATATGAAAACAATGCTGCCATCTAGTGGAGAGAGAGGAAATATCACCTGGACTTTATGTCAGGATCCTCCTCTTCCTCTTCACTCTCCCCCTCATCCTCATTCACTCTCTCACTATCCTGCGAAGACGTCTGAAAATGCACAGTTAAGGTACATTCACAGATGCAATTTATCCATGTTAAAGCAGCACTATGTAACTTTTTCTGTGTTCAAAATTTGCTAAATGTATATAATGAGCAAGTACATCATGAATTCATCTTCCAAACCGCGTTTTTGTCTTATTCCGAATCACTACGGTACACTTATAATAAGTACTTATATTTGGACTATTGTAGCCTGGTCGGGTCGTCACCGCTGCGGAGTAACACACACCTGCGTGAATCGCCATAGATAAACTTAGAGAAGTAGCTCCGGTAGGAATGTTCTTCCGCGGGATGTGTGCAGTTCTGTTTATTAACCGCTAGAGCGCCAAAAGTTACATAGTGCTGCTTTAATGATCTACACACAGATTCCTAACGGACTGCAAATTAGTGCTTAGTCTTTTTTTTTTATTTTGTTCATTCAAGAGTTTAATTTGTATATTTATAAAAGTGCACAGCCTACACCAGTCCCGAACTGCTCTGGAATATGACTTGGACAATGTAAAAGTATAACATAAAGATAGATTATATGCATAATGTGAAAATGTCAATCAAAACCATAATACTGTAAAACATTATTAAAGCAGTAAACTGCAGGAAAACAGTGTTTAAATAAGATTTTAAATGTTGTTTTTCCTCCAATCTTTATGTCAAAATTTACTCTAAAAAAGTATCAACTTGTGCATATAAAAAGCAAAAGTGAATTAAAAGACAAAAATCTAGGGTTTTTATTAAGTTTTGTTTAAACCATTTATGGCTTTCCCCAATAATAAAAACACTGTTTAATGTGTGAATATGACTTACATGTTATCAAACATTTACATGGCGCATGTAAATGCACTCAGTGAGTGCCTGTGATATTATACGCACCTTCAGGAAGGTTTTGGGCACCAGGCCCTTCTGGCCTTTTGAGTTTTGAGCCAGCCACCATCCATCCTTATTCTTAGAGAGAACTCTCAAAACCTCTCCTTTCTGAAACAACACAAAAAAGACTCAAGTGAGACTCACTGAATTGCTCAGTGCAAGAAAATAACCTAAATTCAAGTATTCAACACCTAAAATAAAATGTTATGACTGTTACCTGGATGCTGAGGTCCCCTTCTTCCTCTCCCGTAAACGCACTGAGAGCAATGTAGGAGACAGATCCTTGTCCTTTAGCAGTTGGACCGATATCCTCATCACCACTGTCAGCATTATCATCATCATCATCATCATCGTCATAATCATCCTGTACTTCTTCTTCAGCATCTTCATCCTCAGAGCTCTCATCTTCTTCATCACTATTTTCCTCCTCGCTCTCCTGATCTCTCTGGGACGAACTAGGTCCAGCCGTCCTACGTGGCCAAGAAAAAATAATGGTATTAAATATTTTTCGATTTTATATAAATGTTATATAAATGATTTCATATGGATAAAAGCTGATCTAAAAATGGTTTGATGGTTTGTTTGAATGCATGATAAAGTCTCTGGGATCTGTGCTGGTCAGGTGAGTAAGATTTGTTTGAATGGATGAGGTTACATACTCATCATGAGGCTGCAGCTGAAGAGCTAGAGACTGTAGACGCTCATATAAAGTCAACAAACGCTTCTCCTCTTCCCTCTTACACTGGTCATAATTCCCCACTGGAGCCAGCTCATCTGCCTGCACACATGGAATTCAGCATAATAATAGCAGGATCTAACATGATACATTGTATAGGGTTCAGTAAACGTTCATCAAAAAACAAAAGGAGAGAAATATACATACACATTTTATATGTGCAAGAAAAAATTATTTCAGAAATATTTTTTATTATGTTTTTAAAAATTAAATATGTAGCAATTTATGTGAGATGAAGTAACAATACCAATACACAGACATAAACATTACTTTAGATAATTTCTTCAGAGTCTTCATAATTTCCTCCACTGCACGCTGTAACTCTTTGCACCTGAAATGCAACACCATTACATAACACCATTACAAATCACGGCAAAACACAGAAAGTATGCGCTATTTGACCTAGTTGATGTAGAGACGTTCAAAAACAAAACAGAGGGAAGACGTCTTTACCTCTCCAATGTCTCTGTCCTGTCTGACGCATCTGGTTCAGCAGCATGCTGCACCAAAGCGTCCACCTACAGGACAGATAACAGTGAGTAGAGGTTTAATATCAAAACCGGTGCGCACCAGCAAAAGAACAAACATTTCATTCAATCAATTAAATTAAATGTAATTTATTTTTTTATTATCAACCTTTCTCTTGATGTCATCCGTTTCTCTTTGGACCGTCTGAAGAGGTCCTCTCCTTTTCGGAGGCATCTTCTATTCGTCTTCAACACAAAATGTGATCATGCACGGTATTTTGAATGTGTGATTTGATGAAACGTCCCGGTCGTGCTCAGGTTTAACAAACCAGAAAGCACCGGAGGCGCCATGACAGACGCTCCGGATAATGTTGCTAAGATACTTTTACGCGACGCTGTTATTATTACATCATCACTGCGCGCGAGAGCCATTAGATAGCGCATTCTAGCATAGATATGTATGTATTATATCTATGGCGCATAGAAGTGCAATCTCAGCTATGAAAATTTATCTGTGAATTTTTTGAACCATATGATTTTATTTGGTAAATTTCATGTGCATAGAAGAAATTCGGCTAATCTAGAACATATTTTTAATGTTTTTAACTAAACTTAAATTGAGTCCAATAAATAAATATTGAAAAAAATTTAATGTTCCATTTGCAGTTAAAGATAATGTAAGAGTAAGAATTTGAAATGCTGTCATTCATTTATGTATTTTGGTTGTCGTTTAAATGTCGTATATATAAGATATATCTTGATTCCCGCGATGCGGTTTTGTTATGACAGAAAGCACATTCATTTCTGTTTTGGGCTGTGACTGTAATCTGGTAAAACAGGTTTCTTGGAAAAGTGCTTCTGTTTAAGTAAATAAAAATGCATACAGAAAAAATAAAAAGTTTAAATCAGGGACCCCAACATATTTGGTTGAATTATTCCAGGTTTCTTCTGAGATCCACATTTAAATACACAAATCTGTGAATTCCAGTTCTAAAAAAAATCTTACAAGCATGTGGAAAAGTCATTGAAACTTTCAAATACATTATAAATATGCTAAGATGTCTCAAAACCACATTCCCTGATTTTAGGTTCTGTCATTTAATGGATAGGACATACACACTGTTGTTCACAGCTTACTTTTGTTGGATCAAACTTGAGCTCAATGGCACAACAATAATGTGCAGATTAATTTTTATATTAATGAGTCAACGGTTAATAAAATATTTCATTTATTTCAAATGACAGAGACAAAGAAAAAGCACAGACATGGTAACATGATTTATGGCTTGAACAAACATTGAAGAAAAATACTTATAAATACAACTTTCTGCTGAGTTTTTAAAGTCCTTAATAAAGTTGTATTGCTTTGCTCCAGCCTGTAGATTGCGTCTTTGATCCAAGGTTGAAAGCCTGATCCTGCTGAGAGCTGGAGAGGTGCTGTTCTAGACTCCTCAATCTGTTTGTAAACCAGGAATACTCTATCAGGCTTTGATGACCGAGGCACTAAAAAGTGAAAGAGCTTTTAGACTGGTTATAGCGTCAAACGAAAGCCATTTAGTCTACTCCAAGTACAATAATGACATGAAAGACACATGTCTCACCAGGTCGGTTGCGTGATGTTTTGTATGCGTCATGACAGGTCTAGCTTCTTCTGTGTTTCTGCGAGCTTGTCCTGTAACCTCTTTTTCCGCCAGTCCAAGAACCTTCTTCGCATTCTGTTTGCCTGCCAGCCGGCGATAAAACCAGCCGCAAACGAAACGAATATAGCGACCTGTAACGTCCTCTCTGACACATCGGCCATGTTCACCTCCGTTCGGCCACAGCTCGCTGCGTGAATAGAAGGCGCATCACGTGACTTGGGCGAAACCGGCTGCGCCACCGTGACGTCAATTTGTAGGCCAACTGAATAAAGACTACATTTACCACATTTATTTACTACATGAATTTACTTGTTTGACAACCGTAGACCTTGTTTAGAAACGTGATGAGAAAACACAGCTGCTGCAAAACTCGCGTTTCTACGGAGCCCCTAAAGGGACATGGTGGTGGAAAAAAATTCGGGGTGGGATATTTGCGTTCCCTTTTGCGTTCTCTCGCAAAGATATTTTGCGTTCCCTCGCAAAACTTTTGCGTTCTCTTGCAAAAGAGATTTGCGTTTTGCGAGGGAACGCAAAGTTTCTCGAGGGAACGCAAAAGTTTTGCGAGAGAACGCAAAAAATCTGACAAATATTTTTTCCTCCCACCCCAAATTTTTTCACTCAATCTGATTTTTTTCCACCACCATGTCCCTTTAGGGGCTCCGTACGTTTCAGTTAACTGCGCCATTTATGTTGCAAAACAAAATGTGTCTTCAAGTAGCCTAATGTTAACAATAGACTTTATAAACCAAAATCCATTTGTATCCACACACTGAAAATTCCACAGGAAACCAAAATGCTAATTCTCTTCAGGTTCTAGGACTACAATGAAATATTGAGTCATTTAAGTCGATAGCCTATGTGTAAAAGTTGAATTTGTTCAGCTAGGAAGGGCACGTTTTATCATTCATTCTGTCTGTGCCTTTACCTTCTTTGAGAAAAATAGATGCATGGCTAGTAGGGTGGACTGCAAAAGTGGGACAGTTTTGTGATGGAGAACTGCCAAAAGTGTAATGTCTTCATTCTTTGTGTACTTTGTAATGTGTAATGTCACAACTCAAAAATACATAGAAACAATATTGAATGTAATTTATGTGATAATGATGATAGACTTTTCTAAACAAGGCATTGTTTAATAATTTCAGGTAAACTGAAACACCATCAGCAAAAGTTTCTAAACAGTAATAATGGAAAATGTTATATATAACAAAACAAAAATCTTTACAAGATGGTTTTGGGAACACGGTAGGTAGTTTGTTGCTGATCCAAGATGGTATACCAGCTTGATCATGGTTGCTAGATCAGCTTGGACCAGCTAAAGTGTAACCCATTAACTACCATATTAATATAATCATAATAATATGTTTCAATAATTAATTTGTGTTTGCTGAGATCAATTAGATGTTGAAGCATTACCTGATGATTTCAGGCAGAATGACAAAGGACCCCTATGGCAGTTATTCAAGACGCAATCAATCACAAAACTAATTGGTCTCACTCACAAACTCATTTGTCTTGCCCTATAGTTAATTTTGGAATCTAAAGGCCATTATTTAAGGATCAACTTTCAATAGCAAGTTAAAGAAGGTGTTATTGTACATCAACTAACATAATTTCATAAGCTTTATTTATTCTTTAACAACGGTTGCTTCTTCTTTGTCTTGTTTATGAGTAGTATTATTAATAGGACGTTTCTGAAGGACTTTCCTCAATGGCTGAAGCCTGCAGATGAGGCGGATTCACGCCTTTCAGGTTGCTACGCAACAGCCTTCTTCTTGGTCTTCTGTCACGCATGTGCGCGGTGCATAGTGGGAGTATCCAAGCGACGCTGAATCAGTGCAGGAGCAGAGGAGGCTGGAAATGGTGCAGCATCAACAAGGGGAAAAGGCGCAGCGGTCGCGCCAACGGAATTATGCGGCTCTCCTTAAACTCTCACTTTGAGATTTTACTCCGTCGACAGAAGAACAGGTTAGTAAATTGTTTTTTGTTCGCCAAGTTATTTTTTTAAACAAAGCGCTGCCGTAGCAATCCGCTTGTCCCGTGTATGTTGGCACCTTGTCAATAGTGATGGTGCGCTGGCGCGAGCCGCAGGCTTCCATAGAAGATGCGCGTGCACGCGAAAACAAAATTTGTCACGGTCTTGACAAACTATTAAAGCACTTGGGCCTGAGTCAAAAATAGAAACTCGCCCATTTTTATATATATTATGCACGCTTAAGGAAAATCATGAATAATGTACATTACATGCCACATAATGCAGGTGTACGTCAACAACTCACGTGGCCTATCAGTGGGAGTTGTAGTTTTTCAAAGATGACAATGCCCAATGGCGTTTATGTCTATTGTCTCATTGAAGAACGACATATCCCAAAGTGCTTTTCGCTCCGGGTTCGAGCAGGGGAATGTTCTGCTGATTGTTAAGCATTGCCCCAATGGACGATGATCAAACGATGGTTTGGGGTCGGGGCTTAGCCTTCAGGGATGCTCATTGGAGCAGAACGTGTTTGGGTGTGGTCCGTTCAGACGGATCCTTTTGGCACTGCGGAGAAAGCTGAAGATGTCAGGAGACTGAGCCCACGCAGTCCTGAGCTCCTGACATTTAGTTAAGTCAGAATAATAAAGTGCTCTCAGCAAATGCTTTATGCATTCAGAATCTTATTATCATTTTGTTAAAGTGTACGAGTTTTCCTATGCAAACAGGTGAAGAGCCTGTTGCCAGATTCGTCTGAGGTTTATTCTTTGGTCCCTGCACTTGATCTAATAAAGTCAGGTTTATATTTTTAAATTTTAATAGACAGTCGTGTAATTGTAGCCTACTGTAAAACACGTTTTGTAAAAAATAAATACTAGCTATGCTTCATACCTTATATACATTGGAAATGTATATGACATAAAACAGGGTTATATTCTTAAAGTAACAAATATTTGTTACAATTGTGTTTTTATTAGTGAAAACTGAAATGTATGAATCTACTTATAAAACATTTATTTTTTAATTTGTAAAATGTTTGAAACGTATTTAAAAAGTTAGTTTATTCTTTTAATATTTAAATTTTATTTTGCTTTTTTGAGTAGTTCGATGTTTACTGTAAACATTTTATGCTTTAGTGACATATATTTAGGGAAGTAAAATGCAGCCACCAAAATGGCATCAGTAGTTTTTACTATACATTTAACCCCCTAAGTTTGTTGAGAGTCTGGGTGGGGGCCCTGGATCTCAAAAGTGTCAAAAACCCTTTAGTAATGGAAGAAACACTGGTTATTTTACACATTCAATTCAAACTTTACATTTGTTAATTCATCAGTATTCAGTTTGTAGTAAAAACGCATGAGCAAAGTAGATTCGAGAAGCATTATAATATACATTCTTTGTAGAAATGTTTTATATGAATTTTAAAGCATTTTCCGGTTACTGTACACATATTTTTAGCAATTACATTTCAACATTATGCACTGTATTCTAAAATAGGGGAATAAATTAGCTCGGACAGTTTATGGCATAATTATGAATGCTGAGATGAGATGCCTTCCTTAGGCTGTTTTTAGTGTGTAGAATGAGAGGAGGTATTCCCTGCAATCTTCTGAAATATCTATATGTGTCTCTGCATCAACTCTCTCAGATGAAGGTGACAGAAGTGTTAAGGCGAGAGTCTTTTAATGTGTTTCATCAGTTTTATTAATTAGATCCATTTATAACCCATTGCATTCCTTAGAGAGAAGAATCATTTTAGAAGGTGAGAGTGATTGTGCTTTGTAACGGTAAACAGATAGAAATGTTTGAAATCTTTTAAGGATTTAACTTAAGCACTCACAGAGCCTGCAAATGTAGACACTCATGTGAAAAATAATCTCTTATTTTTCCATTTTACTGAGGTTGATAAGTGACTGTAACATTATGAGAGCATGCTTAAGGGTGTAGTCCAGTTCTGACAGACAAGTACTCTGTGTCTGACCGGCTCTTGTGGATACCTGATACTCTGCAGACATTACAGAAATCTCAGAGAGGCAATAGATGATTTACTTCCTTTTCAGGGTCTTTAAATCATTTTAAGACCATCAATGGCTTTTGATTATTTTCAGAATTATATGTTCAACAATGGTTTATGTCTGTGGAAATGAGTGAAATTTATGTCATTTTGGCCACATTTTTACAGTTAATGCCCTTGTATGACCTGAAAATCGGATCATTGATTATGGAAAACAGCCCGGCCCCGGATACTGACCTCCAGAGAAACATATGTCTGTTCCTTCTGGTGTCTGTATTGTATTTTTCATTCTGATGGAAACAATGCTGTTTTTGTTGTCAGTTTGTCACTTATCTTGTCTTGTATTGGGTTTGTGGATAATTATTTTAAGACCTGAAATACTTCTTATTTATTTTCATTTGAGTTTTTTTCCTGAATGTTTATTATTTTTAGGGGGTGTCCATTTTTGATGTCTTAGAATATTTCAATCTGGTTGCAGCTCCCAGCAAACCTTGTTTAAGAAATATTTGTTCAGATTGAAAATCTGTGATTTTTAAACTGTATTTAAACCTGGAGATACCCAGAAAGTTTAGGTTAAAAAAATGAAACATAGAAAAGATATGCAAAATAAGTAAGGAATATTTAAGATTTTCATGATTATCATGATTTCATGGTAATTAATGGTAACTAATCAAATACATGCAAAAAAAGAACATACCAAATACCAATTCATACCATACCAATTCTTAAAGAAAATAATTATATTTTGACCCCACTATGCGCTTTTATTTTTTATTATAGCATGCAAGGTTAGCAGTTGTGTGCACACTATGTTGCAGGTAAATGGCAGGGTTTGGTAAAGTGCTGGCCAGCCGATGCAGTGCGTAGGGCCTGGAGTCCACGGCGACGAAAACATGAACGGGGCGGGGGAGCAGGTCGACATCCTGCCCTCCAACTGCTTGGTAAAAGAGCGCTGGAAAGTGGTAAGTGTGTGTCTATATTTAGGTGGGATTGTGTTTGTGGAATAAAGACGCCCAAATTGTCTGTTGCCTTTGCAGCCTCATCGCACAGGACAAAACGGTCCACATATGACAACAGATGCTTTCAAATCAACTCAGTCTGGCTTCTCTCCAAAATGCGCCCAAACCATTTGGTTGTGGGCCAGTTCATAGCATTTCTCCTTCAAGCAGATGTCCTTAGAAATGATTTGTGGCTGTTTTACTGTAATAATATCTATGATGGGGATAGTAGCGATCTGACTCATCAGTGACTGACTTAAACTTAATTCTCTCATAACTCATGTGATAAAGCATGTTTAAGCCAAGATTAATCAATATGCTTAGTTCATGCTACTAGGACTGAATTGCTTGGAATTGAATTAAATCTTTCATGTTAAGTAATATGTTCTGTGATTAGAGCAGCTAAAGTAACTCAGCCATTCTGTTTTTGTCATACAATTTATTGCATGTCAAACAAATCCAGCCAGAAAATCCTCAAAAGCTTTTCTGTGAATTTAGCTGATGTACTTGTCCTGTTTAGCAATACGGGACTTTCTCAGATTTTAGATGATGTTTATTTATGATGTACAGTATGCTCTTAAAGATTCTTTATTGGCATCTGTTTCAATGAAGAACTTTCCATTGCACAGAAGATTCTCTATGTTGAAAAAAGGTTCTTTAGATTATTAAAATGTTCTTCACATTAAGAAAAAAATGGTTCTTTCAAGAACTGTTCACTGAAAGGTTCTTTGGAGATCCCAAAATGGTTCTTTTATGTCATCGCTGCAAAACCCCCTTTTGGAACTATTTTTAACAGTATATATTGTGCAAAACCAGCTCTGAGTCGAAAGCATGTGGAATAGATGACACACAGGTTAAATCATTGCTCTGCCATGACTGACCTTGCTATTGTTTGTGTATTCAGCTGAAGAAGATTGGGGGTGGAGGGTTCGGGGAGATCTATGAGGCCTATGATCTGTTGACACGAGAGAATATGGCTCTTAAGGTGGAATCTGCCCAACAACCAAAACAAGTGCTAAAGATGGAGGTTGCTGTGCTAAAGAAACTACAAGGTGAGGAGATGGAGGGAATGTGGATATATTTTGTGTCCTTTATCATTCTTACAATTTGATTTAAACATTATGTGGTAATGTTGTTGCTTCTAAAGTTACTGGCCAGTTTTCAAGATTGTTTTATGCATTTGCCAAAGCTAATTTTTACTCTCATGTATAAATTGACAAGTTCATTTTGGACTATGTTTATGTATATGCTGATACACTACCATTCAAACGTTTGGGGTCAGTACGATTTTTTTTACTTTTATCCAACAAGGATGCATTAATTTAATCAAAAGGGACAATATTTATAATGCTACGAAAGATTTCTATTTCAAATAAATGTTGTTCCTTTCAACTTTCTATTCATCAAAAATCCTGAAAAAATGTAATCATGGTTTCCATAAACTATTAAGCAGCACAACTGTTTTAAACATTGATAATAATAATAAAAAAAAAAACAAGATTAACATATTAGAACGATTTCTGAAGGATCATGTGATACACTGAAGACTGGAGTAATGACTGCTGAAAATGTAGCTTTCCCATTACAATAATGCATTTTATTTTAAAATATATATTAAAATATTTACTTATTTTCATTTGTAATAATATTTCAATACAAATAAATGCAGCTTTGTTGAGCATAAGAGACTAAAAAAATGTACTGACTCCAAACTTTTGAATGATAGTGTACAGTACATATTTGTCTTGTTATAATGAGGCAGCAAGCAGAATGGTGTATGTGTAAAGATATGTGACAGTTTATCTGTTAATATGCCCATCATAATCTTTTTTTTTTTGGAAGTGCTCATATGAAACACACACAGAGACGCACTGTGACTTTCATGCATGTCAAGGCAGTTTGCCTCAGCTGTAGTTCAGACATACCACTGGGAATCTGTAAGGGTAATGAGCATGAAGAACTGAAGGGAAGTGGGATTACCACACTTTTTCTCTCTCTCCGTCTCTTTTTTGCTGCTTTCTTGCTCTCTCATGTCTTCATAACCTTCATGAAGGACGTGCTGGAATTCCAAATGCCACCGCCTCTGTCTCTACCTGCTTGCTGAAATTTGTGTTTTGTATGTGTGAGAATGTGTGTATTCACATATCCATGCAGAAGAGAAAATGTCAGCTGTAGTAAATGGGAATATCCGTGACATTACTGCTTTAATTTCTTGTGCAGGAAAGAATCATGTTTGCAAATTTATTGGATGTGGAAGAAATGACAAGTTCAATTACGTTGTCATGCAGCTGCAGGTACAGTATTTTTTTATTTGTTTTTATGCATGTTTGTGTGTGTGTGTGCGTGTGTGTGAAATCTGATTCTCTCTTTCTGTAGGGAAGGAATCTCGCTGATCTCAGGAGGAGTCAGCCTAGAGGGACGTTCAGTATGAGCACGACTCTACGGTTGGGGAAACAGATTCTGGAGTCCATTGAAGCTATTCACTCTGTGGGCTTCCTGCACCGAGACATTAAACCTGTATGTCTTACTGTTGATGATATGATCTCTTCCATTCTCTTTCCCAATCCGATTACCTGGCTCCTGCCAGCTAATACTGGTTTCTCTCCTATCCTTAGTCTAATTTTGCCATGGGCCAATTGCCGTCTACCTGTAGGAAATGTTACATGCTGGACTTTGGTTTGGCACGACAGTACACTAATACGAATGGGGAAGTGCGGCCTGTAAGTATTACTTTTGCTTTATTTTCTGATACAGTCTTTTTCCTTATTTATATTCTCTCAATTACCATTTCTGTTTGTTTTATTTATTTATTTATTTTTAATGGAAATCGCCTAATAAGCAGCATTTTTTACATTTCCGTTTTGTGCATGTGCAGTTTTTATATTTAGTTGTGATGTTTTATGTTTCAAAAGTTATTTCTAAGGATGCACTGATATTAAAATTCTGACCAGATGTGTATATGTATGTATATATGTATGTATATATATATATTATATTTAATAACAGTGTTATTGACTTATTTTTTTTAAGACTTTAAGTCAGTATTATGTACAGTAGCAACAAAGATAATGTAAAAGCATTGGAAAGGATAGCAATTAATAACGGCCAATAACCAATATGGTACCAAAGTATCATGCATTCCTATTTATTTTATTATTTTTCTATTATTTGCTTTTTACTGATGAATTTTATTATTTGTGTGTTAATTCATTTTTATGTTTCACTTTTCTCAGTTTTGTTTTGCAGTTCTGATTTGGCTCTCATGTTGAATCGCATGCTCCCCCGCCAAAGATGTTTGTCCCTGTTACCATAGCGACAGTCATATTGTGAGTTTTCCAAAATCTTGAAAAGATTCCTTCCTTACCCTCTGAAGGTCTCAGAAATGACACACTCTTCTCTAATGGTTGTGCCTTAAACGTTAAATCCTGAAGCACGGCCCCTTTTGACATAATCACACCCATGCCATACTGACCCATACCTACAACCTACTATACATACTCCTCTATGTAAGAGCGTCCCTGTATGTGTGTGTAAATGAATTTCAATCAGCCTAGGAATCCCCCAAAAAGTTAAAAGATCATAAAAGTTTCTAAAACATACGGAATTCAATTCAATTGATTTTTCAATTCAAGTTTATTTGTATAGCGCTTTTTGCAATACAAATCGTTGCAAAGCAACTTTACAGAAAATTAAGTTTCTACAATATATTTAGTGACTGTCAGTTAATGTACATATGGCAGAAATGTACGGAAAAATCAATTAAAGACGTTATCAAACAGACGATGAACACTATTAACAGCAATTATTATATGATGCAATCAAACTTATAGCAAAATTTGGTAGTTCTGTATGTTGTTTCAGGGTTGGCATCATCTGAGGTCTTCTGAGGGGTTGGCATCATCTCTTCTCAGGTGTTCGGTCATCTCAGGTCTTTGTAAGGGCTGGATCCAGACTGAAGCTTGTGTAAATCCTAGCAAAAACAGAGAAACAAATAGAGACATAATTAACGTAGCTGCTGTTCCAACCAAGCACAATTGATTTGTTTAACCCAAACTAAAGAATAACAATGCGCATTTGATCAGATATAACTGCAGTACAATATTATGAGATGCATTATTTGAATGCTTGGCCAAAGAGATGTGTCTTTAATCTAGATTTAAACAGAGAGAGAGTGT